CTGTCGCGCCATATTTTATTAGTCCGTGTTTCTGATGGAAACCCTATCAGGCTCGTACTTTGGCCCGCAGAAGTCGAACGTTTCCATACCACGAGTTGGTCGATGAATTGTCCGTTTCACAAACGGGGCTTATGAATAAAATTTGACCTGCAACTGCGTTTCGTATGGTCCGATTGGCAATGGCTATTCGCGATGTTGCTTAGAGGGATCAAAGGTATTTCCGGCGTGTTAATCAAGTTAGGGGATGGTGTGAGTCATCCATCTACTGTGAGTGAAAATTTCGAATGTACAGGAAAGAGCTCACTGCAGGGAAGTGCACCACCCACCCCTAACTGTAAGGCCCGTCTCTTGAAAAGGCCACCCTGTCATAACATTGCAAACTAGTTCCCCCTCTTTCCTCCACCGAGGCGCAGCGCCTTTTCTGGGTGCCACTCTGGCGCGAAAGATTTAGATCCAAGTGGATAATTTAGGAGTTACTGTGTGTGAACGAGTGGTCTATACGTGAGAATGGGTGAAAGAAAGAGAGCGATAGGGAGAGCCTGTTTCGACAGTTATTAGAATGCATGGCTGTAAAGCTATCTTAAATGGTTGTAAGCCAGTCCAATAAGCAACCACTCCCTAGTAATCTGTAAAAGCTTAGCAATCCCGTGGGTCGTCAGCACCCGGGTTTTCCCTACAAGCTCTTGTTCGCTTACGCTAGGATAGCGCACTCACCCGGAAAACGTGAGGTGCGGGTTCGACTCCCGCCTGGGGTACGACATTTGTCCATAACTCAGCATTCTTGTGATAGCACTCTTTAATGATTCCGGAGTATGTAGTTCACCATCATCCACCACCAGCGGCCCTGAGCAGGATAGAGAAGCCACGGTTGCGAAGGTGATGTAGTGGTAAGTAGCCCGCGTACCAGGTGCAGCCCCCAAGGTCAAACGCCGGCTCGGCTCCCGCCAGGCCGACCAAGCCTTCTAACCCTCGGGGACGGCGAATTGGTGCCAGATTTGTCTGGAATGATAAAAACATCGGACTCTTACATCGTCTGATATCCTCATGTCATTGTATAGGCCATCGCGCATTCAAATTCGGCTTAGTTTGCCGACGGGGGCATTCGGCTTATTCATAGGTGTGCCGACCATCTAGGTAGCCTTTTCCTCGAGTGAACAACTTTAGATGGTGGCTAGACGATATTACTCCAGCTTCACAGGCGTTCTTAAGTTTTACCATGGTGAGATTCGTAAACCGGAACTAGGGAAGCAATGTTAGTACGAAATGCACCCCGTCGCTAAACAGCGCCCAAAATTCCACTGCGATTCTGGAGAGGTTAGGATAAGCCTGATATCCCAAAAGGATTTGATTCAACGATGAAAGCTTTATTCTTTGATACAGGAGCTGTAGTCAGTGAAGGGGGGGGGAGGGGAAGGAGCTCTCGAATGTCTGCATTCTCTCAGTAAAACGGAGACCACCCACGCACTCTGACCACTTTGTATAATGTCCTTTACAACTGGACTGATTCATGGCTTAGTTGGGAAGGAAACTGGTTTTTCGACAAATGTTCTGCATGGAACAGTTTGCTCCTTGCTTTCAATACGGTATTAGACTGAATCCGCTTATGATTCAATCAAATACAGTATTGGCAGTTGAGTACACTCAGAACACGTGATGTTCGTTTTAGGGGTGCACACTAAGGGATCAAGGTGGTAAGTGGCGTTATTTACTACTTGCCCGGCCAACGATCGAACCTCGGATCGGCTCCTTCCCGAGCCAACTGAGCCATCAATCCTTCTGGAACTTGATAAATTGGCTACCAGGTTCGTCTGGGTAAAACAGTAACTTGTACATCGGCAACCACTCGCAAGTCATTGTGTAGATCGTATTGCAACACTGCGATTCTGATTAGAAGTAGAGGGCGTGACGCATGCCAAAAAGGAACTGGTTTACATGAGGATCTTTGTTCTTTGAAATCTCACCATTGCAAGATTCTTCCTGAACGGAATCGTAAATAGGATGCACTGAATAAAACATGCGTTATGTAACGAAACCTTCTGGGAGAAGCCATGGCATGTTATAGCAGCGGATTATTTATGTGAATATGGAACGTTGCGTCCATAACAACGGGAAGTTCCATGCGCTTTCTGCTATGAGGACCTCAGTTATTCTAGTGTTGTTGAAGGTGTACCGGCTGAAAATTGTCTTCATAGATATCACGAGAATGCTGAGTCATGGGTAAAAAGAACCTGGCCCGAGTCGGAACTCAAATCTACACCTCATGGTTTTCCGGACGAGTGCGCTATCCGTTACGACCTAAATCGCTCTTGTCCTCTCGCCTGGACGACTTTTATGTCGTAGCCTTAGCGCGGTAATGTAAGGGATAGTGCACTCGCCCGAAAAGCGTAGGTGCAAGTTCGATCCTACCATGAGGTCTGGCTTTTGCTCACTACTCAGCATTCTTGTAACAAGCTTCAAAACAGGAATTGTGGCGCCAAGCAGCAGTTATCATGCTTGAACTGATTCTACGCTTGCTAAGGGCACATTTGGATGTTTTGCAACTCCAACGCGCAGGTGTTGTAGAAGTCCACAGACCAACAGGTTACGCATTAAAGGCAGTTGATACGATAAATCCCCCAAGACGAGTAGGATTAATACGCCTGGCAGGACGGAATTCCGCGACCCTGAGCAGGCGCTAATGCCTTTTCCAAGGGAGGTGCCCTTATAAGGGCCCTATCAAGCCACAACATACCGACCCAAACGCCCGCCACGCCCGCCCGCCCACAAATGGACGACCGTTCCTGACGCTGTATTTGCTAAGCAAATTATGAAGCGAAGGGATTGGTATGAAGCGGCCGTGATGCTGCATGGATATATGAGTACACATATGCAGCCGTACCTTCGGTAGCGGTTATTGGCAAGATGCCTACAGGAAACTCGTCCAAAATTGATTTCTAACACATTGAGAACGGAGGCTCTTTCTTCGCAGGATTTTGACCGTTTCACTCCGTTCTTTCGCCATTTCCCCACTATATAGCGCCCTACTAGCATTTTATGCCGAGCAAATCATCGTGCCAACTGCCTTCAAGAGATGCTGCAGTATGGAAGAACCAACTTTTTTTATGCCAGAATAGATTTACCAGTTTCATGATAAGTGATTCATCCAAAGCCCTCTCACCCTTCTGACAGTTAAGCTGAAATGTAATTAATATCCGATAGCGGCCCTATACTGCACCATCGCTCGCTGCAAGCTCTTCATTCTTCTTGCGGGCTGTTCTTTCACCATTCGGGTTGTAATGAAGCTGCTGAACAGCATATTGTTCTTCCAGTTCTTACAAGTGCTGATAGAAATGATTTTTGCAAAGGAAAATCCGTAAAGAGAATCGCGCGAAGTGCAGAGAAATGGAAAAAGTGGAGCACGTCAAGTTCTTTGAAGCGCTTCTCTTTTTAACTGTTTGCATCTGCAGAGAAACCAGCTCCTTTTCTCCTTTGATCTGGCTTCAATCAATCAGTCAGAATTGGCTTCTGTGATAAAAGCCTACAAAGTTTCCATGCAACCATGGACACCAATCTTCTATGCCACTTGGCTCCTGAATTGACTTCGGGGTTTACGAAGTTCGTTCAGTTTTCAGTCATGATATGAGAAGTGATCTGGTTGATTGCGGACAAGCTTTTGTCGACCGCAGCAAGTTTTGTCGATTTGCGGTTTGCGATCCTCGAGAATAGCGTCGCAGAAACCAGTTGAAAGCGTTTGTTCTTAGTCGAAGTCCGGACGTGAATTAAGTGGCAAGGTCAATGTATAATATCACTAAGAAAGGGGATTTGCATTACTAGTTAAACCTACTATTGATGGGAACTTCTTCGGTGTCACAAAGGAATGTGATCTCATGACCCACCGCATTTCTCTTCATTTTCTTGGCTACGAAAGAAGAAAACACATATTCGGAGAGGTGGAAAAAGCAATGACAAGTCGACTAAAAGAGAGGGGAGCGTCCAATGGCGACTAAATGGAAGAAAATATTCTGAAGGGGCACCCTGAGTCTTGAGCCGTTATGCCTTTTAGAGAGGATATTTTAGATATTATCTGTTTTCAAATATTCGAACTAGGGTTCCTGTAATGCGATCGCGTTGCGTGGCACGTAGGGAATCTCCATTGAGGTGGACGCATTTGATTGTTGGCGGTAGGGGAGGGGTACGTATTTGCCTCTGAAAGCAATGTATGGTTGATGATTTTGCTTGTTTAGTTCCTGTTTCGCATGCGCTACATCCCTTCCCCCCCCCCCTTAACAGCTCGACAGCAGTTTTTTGGGGGAAGTTGGGAGGATCAAGGAAAGTGGTAGGAAGTATGAGCTATAGAAAAAGTGGAAGGTTGTTTCAGAGAAAGAAATTCTCAGGGAAGTCGTATTTTGCAAAAATCACTGCGACTGCATGCCTGGGAGAGAGAGAGAGAGAGAGAGAGGGTGGTGGGAATGGGCTCTTTGTGCACAACAGGGATTGCAAATGAGTATTCTGAAGGGTTTCTCAAATTCTGAGTTATTCGTCTGAGATTGATGTAAATCGGTACCCCTTTTGCACAACGGAATCTGTTTGCTCACCTTGGAGCTGCTACCCTCTCAGGCTAAGGAAGCGTTCATACTTTGCGAAAAAACGCCTCGACGCCCACTATTGCAACACCGTTCAAATACTATAAACGTGGAGCAGCCGCAGACGGCAATCGATCGGCGGCGGTATTGGAGTGCCTTTGCAGTTGTAGCGCGTTGACGCGGGTTGCAGCGTGTTACATCGCGTTATCGCAAACTCTGAACGCTGTCTCAGGTAAAAGTTCTCGCCAACATTACAGTGATCCCAACTTCGCATAACAAGTTTCTTAAATATGGGTTTCTTCCTCTCCTTTAGACGATTTGTGCCAAAAGAATGTTTGTACCAGAAATTTTTAATTTTGACTTGCTTCAAACGTTCCATTTGATTGTGCGAGCCTTTCAGCTGTTGAACTGACAGCCGCTGGTCGTTGGTTCATTTGGATGAACTATTTCGTGCACTCAATCATGTACACGTACTATGCTATTGTGTCGACGGGTATTCGACTTCCGAAGCGGTTTTCTATGTAAGTTTCTATAGATATTCCATGGTTTTCCATTTACGCTAATATAGTGTCATTAAGAGGGGGAGAAGGGGAACAGGTGGATGGGCGTCTAGGGGATTTTAGGCGTTCCCATCTCTTTCCCAAGGGACAGCCCTGTTCCTCAGAACGGGTCAATGTCACTGTGTTGCTCGTTATTGAACATTTCTTCTTGACTCTTTCGCCAACAATAAGTAGCAACGGAATGACACCTTTTTGTCTTAGCGGGCGGGGGCTAGCTGGGAAGTCTATCTGATCGAAGCATTAGGCCTTGAATTAATGCTCTATTTGACGAACTCGTTGGCAGGGTGTGTGCCGAAATTGGGTTATCCTCTTGTCCCGCTGGTTACCCATTTAATTATTTCTCTAACAGCCGGCGATGACCGTTTCTTCAGGACTGTCACTGCCTTGCAAACAACCCAAATGCTAATTGGTGTCGTCATCTCGGTCTATGTACTACTTTTGAAGCTCAATGGAGCGGTAAGTTTGATTATTGTAACTTTCTATTTGTTCCGACTTTTACTACGGTCTTTCGCGTTGTTCGGTTGGAGGGGGTATTTTGAACGTGCGCTACTTGCTTTTGTTGATTCATGTTAATTAACAGGTCTCTTTTTGTCGGGCTTGTGAACTCCTGTGAATTAAAATGAGCCACTTTGGTCACAAGAATTGAAAGGTCTTTATAAGGTGGCCTGTATAAGCCTGGCTGAGTCCCGTCTAGTGCCCCCACCAAGACGATCTGCGCCTGTTTTTATTGCATAAATTATGCGTTTGCTATTTATAGAAGTATTAATTATGATATTTAAGGTGTGCCAGCAGTCTTTCGACAATCTTGCCATTTGCTTCGCCATATACGCGTCTTTCCTCATCTTGTTCTCGAAGTTCTTCAACACGGCATATCTAGTGAAGAAAGAGAAGAAGGTTGCAGTAATAAAGCCAGCTGAAAAGACTGATTAGAAATAGAAATAGTTTGTGGTTAGGGGGGGGGTTAGTCTAGGAAGCAAGTGTTACGGTGATCATATTCAAGCGTTGTGATGTGGTACATAAACGAACGGTGAGAGTGAAGCTCCCCTTTCTGTTTTTTTTTGTCTGATGTGCGAGTGTGTTGTAAATGGTAATTGTTGTGACCTCTAAATGTCACTTAATTAACTTGAATACTGTGTTTTGTCGTTAACCTCATGTCGTTGTCATCAGTCTGCCGTCTGTTTACATAAGAAGTGTCTTATTTGTGCGTGTGTTTCTGGTGATTGAGTTTTATTCGTATTCGTTATGAAGTCGTTGTACATAAAATGGCAACAATAAATATTTCTATGATTACGGCTTTTGTTTTTTTTTCTGAAGAAATCGGGCAACTCTCGCTGATAGCCCGACGAACTGTGACAATCAGCAAGAGGTCAAGAGAGACAGCCCCCTTTCAAGTCATCTATCAATTACAATCTGTCGCTTCGCTCTGGAGGGGCACCGAATGATGCTCTGCCAAACCTGTGCAGGCCACCTTGTTAAGACCTGTGAAGTCCCGTGACCAAAGAGGCTCACTGAAACAGTCAGCTTCAAAGTTTACAGGTCTAACTAGAGAGAGACCTGCTAGTTGGTATGAACCCACAAAAGGAAATAGGGGACGTGGGGAATGTTATTTTATTCCCGACCTCAAAGTCCGCTCGCTGCGAGATTCCAGGGGCTTTCTTGTCACATCGTATGGATGAGCATCTGAAGGGAGGAAAATAACTGAAGAGTGGGAAGCCTTGCGGTCGACAGATGTCCTGGAACCTCTCCCCGATGGAGCTGAAGCAATATCCATCGAAAAGTGAGTGCTATCAATCTTACTCGCTCAGCATTCCTGCTACACCACACAGTAGCCACGCTTAGTTGAACGTCCCGGCGCAAGTCGCCACAGGAGGACGGAGCACCTAAAGGGTCCCTGGGCAAAGCTAGGGCGTCCATACCAGAGATGAGGACTTTTACCTAGGATCAAAGGGGAAAAGACCTCCGGGTATGTGAACCAATTTAAAGTGGGTAGCTCTATCAGAACCCACTCGGCAACTCTAGCGCATTGTGACGAATGTAAACGTTACCAATGCCCGCTCAAGCATCCGCGAGCAACGGGAGCCCAGGTGATTTAGGTGGGTAAACTGTTCGGGATGGCGGCAATCTCAGTTCCAAAGTACTCATAATCCTCTTCCTGAAATCATAGCGCTCATGGAAGCAACGGTGGGAGGTGGCTTTCAGGAACTGGTAGGGAAGGGAACCTTATTGATGGTGTGAGAGGAAGTGATATCAACTGACAAGACCACCACGTGCCGCAGCAACCGTGGGGCACCAGTTCTGCGAAGCGGAATAGGCGAAATAGTAAGTGCAACGGATAAACCGATAATTTACCGAAAGAGATCGATAACAGATGATCAAAGGACAAAGTCATAGCCGTTGATCGATTCCTTTTTGGGATGCGGCACGCATTCTACTTCCATTCAGAATCGTAGTGGCTTATTGAATGCGATGTGGCCTATACAATGACTTGCGGGGCCAGCCGATGTACAAGTCAGTGTTCTTATCCTCCCAGACAAATCTGGTACCAACTCACCGTACTGCGAGGGTAGAAGGTTATGCTGCATGGGCGAGAACCAATCGAAGATATGAACCCGTTCCGCGTGTGTGGTAAGCGTGCCTCTTGCCACCATATCACCACTGGTTCCAACAGGTGATAAGGTCTGGTAAAGAGTGTTAGAATTCGAGTGCTATCAAATGCATAGCGTTCGTCAAAGCAGTTATGGCGTCACAGAACAAACAAGTGACATATGATGTGAAATGGGGCATCGATGAAAGATAACAGGAATTGATAACGCCTGAGAAAGGCTGAAAGCGAAATCCGCAACACCACTTACGACAAGAACATGTCCGATATAACTCATGTAACAGGTTTTCAATGATGAAGTGCATCTCATTTTTTTCCCTTATTGGTACTGACCACATATCTGAACGCAACGCTGATGGTGAGCGTGGGAGGGAGGGGGGGGGAGGACCGGCTGCCCGGCAACAAATGCTGGTCTTTCACAAATCACATTCGAAGCGCTCTGCCCTCGCAGGCGGGGTATATGCTGGACTATTCTAGAGACAGAACGGATGAAGAAGTGGAATGCCTCAGAGATGAAAAAAATTGGGTGAAGAAGGAGGAAGCTCATAGACTTCATTTGGGGATTTGCTTGAATATCACCTGGTTTGCGAGGTTTAGTCGATATCGTCGCAATCATGGAGCGACGGAGTCAAGATGGCATATAAATGGTGCTGTTAGTTGTTTTCTACCTCAATCGATCACTGACCGATCGCTATTGATAGACAATGCTGCCGAAGGTGGACCCTTTGTCACGGCCCCGACCGATTTCGACGATATCAAATAAACATATTTTTTGGCGATATCAACTAAACATATTTCCGGATCCAAATCAGGAAAGGAGGATGTAAGTAGGGGGAGGAAAAGAAGGGAGGAAGAAAAAAGAAAGAAGAATGGCAGTTTTGCGGTGGACAAGTATCCTTTGACTGGTGGACATTGATGTCTATCAGTTAGATCGACACTCAGAATCTTATTGTTCACGCAGTCGGATAACGTCTATGAGAGTAGATCGATACGTGCTTGAGGAGGAATCCGCGCCCGTGAGCAGGCGGGTGCGTAGGTCATTCTCGAAGGAGTAGCCTTGAAGGCCTAATCAGTACGCGACTACCCGAGCCGGACGTTCCACTTGCGCCCACAAATGGACGACCCTACCTTGTGCTAATATTGCTTCATTTGCTAAGTGAAGTATGAAGCGAAGGGACTGATACGAAGCGGGTGCGGTGCTGCATGGATAGATGAGTGCAGCTACCGTTGCGGTTATTGGCACGATGTCAACGGAACTCGTCCCAAATTGCTTTTTGCATCACTTTATAACAAAGGCTTTCCTTCACAGGTTTTTTACCGTTTTACTTCAGTTTTTCGCGGACTTATCGCCATTATGGGGGAAATCGGTTCGAGATTCTAGACGCGAGATCTAATTATCGTGCATATATGCTTTGAATGGTTTTACATAATTCGTGAGCATAATACTGAATGTGCAGAAAAAACCCACCGATAGTTAACACCAGTCTAATTGAAAATTTGAGCCACTCAAACAAAAATCAATTAATTTATTATTATTTAGAAAGTTCAATAAAATCAATAGTGTCTTGAAGTGACACGGGGTGGGGGGGAGAAGAATTCATCATATCCGTCAGTATATTGTTCGACTGGGAATCTGTTCGCGATCAACAGAATGCTCCGCCACAGCAACATTCGAACTGCAGCACGATTTCCACGTCTAAAGAGGATGCGGTATGAAACATTCAAGTATACTGCTCCTTCCCCCTCTTCCTCTCTCCCTCCCTCCCCCTGCCCCAACTCCTTCCCTTGTCAATACTAAAACTCTTCTGTCCCTCCTGGAAGTTCTTTTGACGGTGTTGTCCCGTTGTATTCTCCCTACAAGATACGTCGAGCAATGTTAATCATAGTCGGTCGAACTTCACTGTCTTCGTCTTCGATGGGCCTTTGGAAGTATCGAACGCATGTTTGATATTCCGCGACAATGTACTCGTGCAATACTGTATTGCACACGGCTGATAATACTATATCGTTTTTCAGACAGGGTATAGTCAAACACGTGAAAGGCATTAACGAAGCTCAGCATAGCATTCCAAGAGTACCACGCTTTACTGCACAACTGTGGAAATTCGGTCTTTGATGGTACTGGGCATGCCCGATTAACATCGAAGGCTGGCAGCGTCGCGCACATAAGGTGACGGATCAAAACGAACCAGGGGAGATAATGGGCCTGAAATGACCTCATAGAAAAAACCATAAGACGGGCTGAATATTGAAAAAAATACCGGCACGTGCGTAGATCAAAAGTTGTTTCGTGGCAAATGATAGAGATTCTTGAGAAGCTAATTGATGTGAATAGGAGAATCGCCCCATAGTCCGGGAGATGGTTACGTGGCCGCGATAAATATTTCTAACGTGACGGGTTATTTAGTGTGATATACCGTTTCTAGACTACCTGTAAATATTTCCGTGTGCAGCAAGACAGAATGACAGTGGATCAAGCTGATATGGGCGAAATTTATCTGTGATATGCAGTCACGACCCTTCCCATCTCCAGGATTGGAAAGTAGTTGCGAGTGTTCCATTAAGAAGAAATTAACCTTTCCTGCCTCACACAAACTCACAGGCTCTGAACGACTTCACTATGGCCTCACGGAAGAAAGCATGCAAGCCGCACACCAGTCTCGGACCAAAAAACTTTTCAATTCGCTGACTGCTAATATGCAGGAGGCTATCAATAGCAACGACGTGATTCGTCTAACTATAGATGGAGCGCCGACATTGTAGGTTCAACTCTGGGGAGTGCGGTCTATGGGTCTTTACTAGTTTCCTCCAAAGAACAGTTGATTTGTACCATGCAGGCCGCGTTGAGAGATTTGCCGGATGAGCGCTGTCACCAGCTCGTGCAGTGCACCATGAGCGTAGGTAGCTGACGTAGACGACGCGTTCTTAACGTAAGCGCTGAACGCGTTCCCGTCAGCTAACTAACGTTAAAATAGAACGAAAACACGGGAAAACAGCGGTGCGATTTCCCAGACATATCCAACTTCATACTGAAGTGTGATATGCGCTGAAGATTGTGGATTTATTAGTCCTTCTTTTGCAAAGTGTAGAGAAAACTTGAGGCTAATTCATTCCATTCGCATGTGCCATGCTTCGATTTCACTGCAAAATTGCTGGATGAATGTGACCCGTGACCACAGAATTGCGTAGAGACACTGGCGACTTTTAGTTTAGGCACTTCGCAGTTACCGGTAGAACAACTCTTACAAGTAATGTGCTATCTTCAGAGGGAGGGGTTCTCCTCTTACCACAGCTCTACAGGTTATGCGTCTCGCGAATGGCATAAGCTTGATGGACGAAACCTGTGGAACCTGTGGAAGGGCCCACCATTGGGAACGAGATGTGCCGCTGTACTAGACCATATAAAATCGAGTGACGCGCTGCATTCATTCTGTGGGAACCCAGATTTTCACCTTTCTCGCCTTCCAGTTCGTGCACCTATTTTCTCATTCTTCAACCATGGCTACTCGCCAGGTAGTAGAGTCTCGTCCCATCGAAAGCTTGTCCAGTCTGGGGCATCGGAAAGCCTAGTGATTCTGACCATTTTTCCCCAACTGTCTATCAATGGGAGTGCTACAATTTCTAACGGGCCCCAAACCACAGAATACAGTCGCGGGATGCGTACTCAAGGACACAGAATTGGCAATGTAGGCACATTTCGGCCTGGTGGGGGCAATTTGCTGGCTCCCATCGATCATTGCCTGATGTCTCCTGTGGAGACATGTGAATTCTCGTAAGCCCATGCAGTAGCACTAGCGAGGTTTACCAGATGATCACAGTCTACTCGTCTCACCAAGGTGAGACGTGTAAGTTGGCAGGAGCTAGTAGAGGAATTAGAAAGCTAAGAGATGAATGGCCTCCCCCTTCACTTCTAAGCCGAAAGTGCCAAGATTAGAGCAAGTATATGGTAAGAGAATGATTCTTCACACAGAGGGTCAAGTCACCTTTCGTAATTTCCAAGGCTAACCGGTCACGAATGTCAGCCATTGCAGGGTCATTGAGACACTCACACGCGGCGTATGTGGCGATCGCTTTACAAAGCATGGAGACTCCGTTAATGAGGAAAATTTTTGTTTTATTCTTCATATGTAATTTCCATTCAGTTGACTCCAAGTGCGGATATTGTCACAATAGTCGATGGCGGTGTGAGAAGGAGTCGAGTGAGAGTCTCGCTCTCGGCGCGGTTTCATAACAACAGAGTACGTTTCAGGACGAAATGCAAACAAGTGGTGGAAAACTAGCGTGGTTGCTAATTTCGCGCCTCCTGAGCCCCGACTGATCACGACTATAGCAACTGTAAGGTGATCGCCTCTAACTCCGAACTGAAAAATTGGTAATCTGAAAAAAGAAGTTTTCGACGGGTAGATCTTACCAGTAGGCGTGGAAAGCAGTGACCAAGCAGCATGGCTAAATCGGCAATATCAAGACGAGAAGACAGTTTCGCCAGCATCTGCTGTAGGTCTGACAGAGGTGCACGACGTCGATCCATCATAAATCGACAAATACCCGTAAGAAAAGATTTGATTTGCTGAAAGGAATTGAAAATTGTTTGTGATCATATGGAAAGTTCGTGTACAAACAGTCAAACGAGCACAACCGAACATGTAGAAAATTTGGGAAGCAGTTTGGCTTGGTGGGGGCACCGAACAGACTCACCGACGCTTGCACTGAGTTCCTGTGATAAAAGTGGCTCAGTAGCACAGAAAGAGTCTTGCAGAAAACGGGTACTACAGTGTAAGTAAGAAGATCACGATGCGGTTTAGAGGAGAGGGTAGAGCATTTTCTTGGATTTTTTTCCTAGTTCCCCTTAACTTTAACTTACAACTGGAAGTCTCGCCTTGGAGACCTGTAGATCCCTGTCAATTGCAAACGAAGCTCGTGCGACTGCATGGCTTTATAAGAGTCGATTCATCGTCAGTGAGCCAGGAAATGCCCCTACCAAGCCAAACTGCAGCGTGAGGAGCCTGAATGGCAAGAAAAAAAAGCAAAAAAAAAACTGCACCTACCACGTTGTCCATGAGATCGATCGCACTAACAAAATTGCTCAACTTTACAGAAGGCGATAAAAGTACCGTATCCAAGAGATCACTGAGATCTGATCGTCTGAAAAAAGGGAATTAAGAGAAAAAAATAATTCCTCTAATCATTTGAGCGCCATCTTTAGCGTTGACCTTCACAAGAATGCTGATATCGGGTAGATCACTGCTCCAAATCATAATAATCTAATGTGGACATGAAGTGACACCTGTCGAATTTGTAGCAAATAATTGCCAGCTCTTGTAAAGCAATGAACTCGATAAAGGGAAGCAGCGAAAGAAATGCCTGATCTCCACCCTACCGCCCCCGCTTCCCTAGTGCCACAAGTGAACCAGGAAAAGGCCATGGGAAAACGGGTGAACTGAGAAGACCACCGATTTCATCTAATGACCTGAGAATATCTCTAGAGATCCCGAATAGAAGTCGCCGCCTTCCTCTTCAAAAAGTGGTAGTCGACACTAAACAGAATACCCTTTTCTGGCAATATGTTATTATTTATCTTGGTTTGCTTCCTACAGTTTTGCTTCCTGGTCTCGTACGGGATAGCTCACTCGTGTCTGGTTCCCTACCTAAATTAAAAAAACCCTCAGGGTTTGAGTTTCTTCCCTTTGTACACGAAAATCGGGAAAAACGCAACAAAGCAAATAATAAACAAGACAAACAAAACATGAACAAACTGTAACCCTCACTTCGGAGACGACTGAACCAGCTTCATGATTGTCTGGCACCTTGCGGTCTCATTATGCCACTTATTCAGTGCAAGGTCGTCTGCCAACGTCATGTCGGGCCTAGAATGATTACATTACAGGTCTCATTCGAGTGTTACCCAACATGAACTAACAAAAGGACTCAATGGAAGTGCTAAACGTCCCTCCTCCCCCCCCCCCACCCCATCATACGAACAGCGCCCAAAAAAGTCGCCGCGTCAAAAGTGGCAGCGTAGGATGGCAGAATGACTGTATCAGAACTTACCGTACTTTTGCTGCCAGCTGATACACGACGTCGCCGGCGACTCCTCTTGACTGTGTAGTGTTGACGATGCATCGGATCTGATCAGCATCCAAACGATCAGCGAAGTGAACTAGTATTCGAGCAGTACCGTTAAGCACATAATCAGAATCCTGGAAGCGTTCAGAATTCTGGATAATTTCTGAGAAATATTCACCAATGAAACTCAGTGACCTTGCGCATGCGCATTACTTCTAATTTACGACTGTCCCGACCTTCACCAGACTATGCCTTGGCGACTCTGGTCATCTGCGCTCTAACTCTGGGGAAAGATGCGGGAAGGGACCTAGAGCACCCATCTTACCCCAACTACATCAACGCCTGAATGCTAACGATTCACGATTGGGTCACGATTCCGAATGAGTAGTGTTCTTTTTATGGAGTCTCAGTGCGCCATGATGTGCTCAAACCAAGGGTTACAGTTTGTTCATGTTTTGTTTGTCTTGCTTATTATTTGCTTTGTTGCGTTTTTCCCGATTTTCGTGTGTAAAGGGAAGAAGC